GCTTGGACACCCTGACCGGCTGCTGATCCTGATCTGCCACAATTATCGCTCCATATTTAACTGTGGTATACGAACAGGGTTATTCATCTCATCCTTAGCTGGAACATTTCAAACTATAATGAGAATATAAGTTTGTAAAGGGTTTAACACAGTCTAGGAATATAAAGCATTTTATTTGATATCCAAAATATGCAAAACTCATTCAAAGCATGAGCGTACTTGATAACATTTTTTTTAATTTATCCACAATATCAAATATACGTTTTACAGAATCAAACACTATATCATTGTATCTGCACCTCTAAAGTAAATGGTTTACACCTTTATGTAGTAGTTGTTAAAAATTAACAGTCTTCAAACAGCATGAATGGAGTGAGGAACAAGTCACTGGTAGATTTGGAGACGCAGTAACTCATCAAGATGGCTGATCTTCAAAACCTCAAAGAAGAGCTTAAAGCCATGAAAGAGAAACTGAATGAGATGGAAAACCAGATTCTTGACCTCAAGAAAAAAGGTAATTGCTTGATAAGGAAACTACTTAAAACATAGAATTGAAAGTTGTTTTTTTTATTCTACTTTTAAAAATATTTATCTACCAAGACTCAACCAAAGTGGTGTTCAGTGCCATAGCCACTGGAAATGGACACACTGGACCCTTCAACACAGACAAAACCATAATCTACAATACTGTGCTAACGAATGTGGGCAAAGCCTACAATCACTTTACAGGTAGGTAGAGCTGTGCTTGCATTCTTTCTGTCTCTCTCTTACTTTTCGTCTCTCAGTCTCTCATATATACCTAATAATATTTATATATTTACTCATCCTCCCGACCCCACTAGTGATAAGGGTCTAACATAATGGACAGATATTTATTTATTTTTGTGCAGGGATCTTCACAGCACCAGTTGCAGGTGTTTATTACTTCAGCTTTTTCTACCACGCCGGAGGAGAATGTCAAGCACGACTGTATCTCTACAACAACAACAAGTTAGTTGTCATGACGAGTGACCACAAATCAACACAAGACGAAGCTGATAATGGAGGGAACGCCGTGTTCCTGCATCTGCTGCCAGAGGAACAGGTGTATGTCAAACTGGCACCAAATTCACATGTTTGGGTGGGGGGAACCCACACCACTTTCAGCGACCACTTAGTGTATGAAATGTAAACAAAGAAATGTCAGATTTTGGCCACAATATATGGAATAATTTCATTAATGTTGATTTATTAGCATTTGCTAACATTTAATGAAAAGTTGAGAACAAATCAGAATCAACAAATTTGTAGTAACCACAAAAATTATGAAGGAAAAGCTTATTGAAATGCAAATGTACTTTGACAAATTGTAATCACGAGTTTTCTTCAAGGTAATTTTAATGACTGATTAGACAATTTTAGTGCATGTCTTAATAACTAGAATCTAACCAGATGTTCCTTTTGAAAGTAGCCGTTAGGCAGATATCAAACATTATTTTAATTAAGAGCACTTTACTGTATTAAAATGTTTTTTTATTGGTCTGATGTAATATTTTAATCTTAATTGTTGTGTTTTCGTCAGCTGTAAGCAGGAAATGTTCATAACTAATGGAAATCAAGGCTTGAATTGAGTAACAAATGCAAATAAACTTTTCAGTTCCCAAATGTATTGAATATGACTGGGTATCTTCTCAACAAATTGATTCGCTTTGCTGCACACATGTAACAACCATCTATTCTTTTTGACATGTACAACAGAAACATAAGAGGTGTGAGAACAGAACCACAGAGAAATGCAGAATTTAGAGGTCAAGTGATTTTAGTTCATATTTTATTCTAATTTATGTTGTACCAATTTCAAGCACCGATAATCCTCAAAAAATGATTTAAAAAATAATTTAAGCAAATAAAAGTTAATATCATAGTTGCAGTAGAACCAGTGCACTCTTGGTACATGGAATCGATCTTTAATACAAGCTAATGTACTAATAAGATATTGAAAGTCATCTTTTAGAATGTCTGATTTATGTTTGGTCAGATCAGCTCCAATCTGTATGATTATATTCTCAATGTTTGGCTGATCAGCTGTTAATGGGAGTATTTTCTCTGTTATATCAACCAGTGTGTCATTCAGAAATCAGACAACATTTGCGCTGCAAAAACTGTTTATTGCTTTTACTGCTATAAATAGTATTTTACTGTTCATAAAATAAGAACTTTTGGCATAGATTTTGGTTACCATCCCACATGCACCTCACTCTCATTCATAAGCATATTAATAAGCATAATGCCGTCTGATGTTGTTTGGTGATTTTTATGTTGTTCTTTGATTTTGTTACTTTGGCACTGAATGGCCTTGCATATCCACTTCAACATTTTGAGTTGTTGTGCATCAAGTCGTCTGGATGCATACTTTATAGAATTGTTTACAAATATTTGGGGCCTTAAAATTACTTATTTAGGTTGAGAAGCATCCTCTGCTTTTTCTTAGACTTGAGTCTTTCTTCCTGTATGTCTGCCTTTGCCCAAGATTCTGCCAGTCCACAGGATTCATGCATTTCCCTCCTACATCAAAAAATAAAAGTTCAACAGTTACAGTCGCTCAAGAATCCTCAAGTCAAGTAAAGTTTATTTGTATGGAATATTTTCAGCAACAAGGCAATACAAAGAGCGTTATTTCGTAAAAACATCGCACAGTCACCAATTATGAAATATGCAATAAACACTGCATTTTGTCAAATAGATGTCAAATAAATGTGTTTAAATGTTTTCAGTAACTGTAAGAAGAAAATCACAACAGAAATAAAGACTTTCAGACCATCTGTGTGTAACTAGTCTATATTATGTATTTCATTAAGTGTTTAAGTTCTGAAATAAACAGACATTTCAATAAAATTTTAAATTTATTGAATAAATCTTTAAATGAAAGACTACAACTTATTTACTTTTCAGGTGATTTTTATTCAGAGAAAAGTTTAACCACACCAACCTGAACCTACTAGAGACTAAGTGAACCTTAGACCCATACCAGGTTATGCCCAACTTGACAGCAATAGTTGCTAACAAATGCAACTTTAAATTGG